AAGAAAAGGAGACACTCTCCTTTTCTTGTGATTGGGTATATGTTTTTTTTTTTTTTTCTTTTTTGGAAGGTAAATTCAACTTTTGGGGGAAACTAAGTTTCAGGCCACCAATGCCATATTTAAATTGTTTATAAAGGAATGTTATTTATACAAGCTGAAGAAATGCCTGGAGGTGCTCCCTGTTGACTTTCTCTGCCCCTGCCACCGATCTGATTAGTAGAGCTTGCTTGAATGCTCTTCTAAGGGAAGTGATTGTCCTATTTCTATCAGGTAGTTAAAATATTCATGGAAATGCTGGTCTCACAAACAAATATAAAAGGGAAAACTGTGGCATCTGTTGTATATAGCGTTGTATTACTTTTTCAGGAAGAAGTAATGTGGAGAGGTAATGAGATCAGGGTTCCATGATTACATTTCGATATGACATACATGGAGAGGAAGAGAAAAGGGACAAACCTCGAGAATCTCTCGTGTGAAAAAATAATCATACTCTGGGCTTCTGAAGAAGTAACATTTACCTTGCTTCAGATGCAGGGGTGGGTGGGTATGAGTTTATGTATTCTAGACTAGAGATATGTGAATGACAACTTATGAATTATAGAATCTGAAAATCATAAATAATATAAAACTCTTTTGAGATATGAGAGGACAGAAGTGAAATAAAAACCATATTAAGGAATGGTAAATAAGGGACTTGAGCATCCACAGATTTTGGTACCCATGGAGAGTCCTGGAATGCTGATGTGAAGAACAGGAGAAGTGGTAGGGGTATGAGTGGGTGAGAACGTCACACTGAAGACTGAAGATCTGACCCTGATTATTTTCAAAATAAATTGACTTTGAGTCAACTGAGCATAGGAAATGAATAATAAAGGGACAAAAAGCCAATTATTGGTTTAGATGATATATCAATAAATTAAAAACAGCTCAAACTTAAGTGCAAGTTATACTTATAGATTAGTGAAGAGAAAGGCAAGATTTAGCATCATGATATTTGTGGAATGTACAATTAGGGCTCACTGAGAACATGTATATAAAGCATATAAATTACTTTTTACAGCCTATGATTAATTTGCAGGAATTAAATGAAGGTCTCAAATAAGAGGCTTTCTTACGACGCAAAATAAAACAACAACAAGCTTGTTTATGTATAAATTCTTGTGGGAATGAGAAGGCAAAGTATGAATGACACACACTTTGCATACCTCTGATTATATGAGAGATCTCAAGGATTCCAAACTCCAGAAATTTTGTTACTTGGTCGAATTCTCATCTCCTGACACTATGTATTTCAATTATAAAAGTGTGTGTGGGAGCTGTGGATTTGGCTCTTGCTGTGGCTGTGGGTATGGCTGTATACAGAGCACCCACTGTGGCTGTAACGGTTATCATGGTTGTCGTGAAAAATAAACATTCTGTTGTAGATGATTCTACATTTTTTTTGCTTCTAAGCAACACCATTGAGCATTGCCTCTTATTTAGTTTCTCAAAGATCTATTCTGCTTTAGTCATCCTCAATCCTGATAGCCCTACACTTGAGAAAAATGACTCATCTGATGAAAGCCTCATTTGTCTTCAAAGTTCCTGTTAGTCATAGGTATAGTGGGGTTTCACTTAGAGATTGAAAATATGACTATTTTGAAATTTTTAAAAATATGAGGTTTTCTTTGTGTGCATGTATAAGAGTCAACGCCAATTTGGGGCATTTTTTACCCCCTCGAAAGCCAGACTACTGTGTAGATTAGTTGATCCTTAGCTTCTTAGAAATTTCTTCTTAACTTCCAATAATTTTCTTCTCTTTATCTTTTCTACTCTACATAAAGCTTGAGTTATGTAATTGTCAGTATCCACCACGTATTTAATATTAAATAAATATGTACCTGTTAATTGGGTATACTTCTAAATATACAAAATAAAGAAAGGAAATGGAATGGTATCATCTTTAGTATGGAATGGTAGTTTATTATCAGCCAAAACAAAGGGTGGAGAAGAATCACTGAAACATCTTGAATGACAAAAGGAAAAACTGTCTCAGAGATGAAGTCACAAGTTCTATGGTGACTATTAATGAAAGACAAAAAATTATGGTAGATAGTGACACTCAACAACAATTTTAAGTATAAAGACTGAGTCATGGTAAAATCTTAAAATCATTTATTATTCAAGATGTTTGTTGCAGGAAAGCAAACTACATATACAGTACACAATGAAGATTATATTTATTTTGGAGGGTTTTAACTGTAAAAAAGCCTCCAACAAGTTAATATGACACACTTAAAGATAAGTTAATTGCCAATATATTGTGAAACAGCTAGGCATTATTCAAGAGTAGTTCTCAAAAATCTGATTAGCCAGGCAAATTCAAGTTTTTGTTTTCTCCTCTTATATTTCCAGAATCAAAATTCCTTAAATATATCATCAACAATGTTGAAATAATTGAATATCCAAATGAAGAAATTAAATGTGAACATTGATATCTCACATCATATGAAAATTAATTTGAATTGAATTGCATATTTAAATTTAAAAGTTAAATCGTAAGTGTTCTGGAGAAAAACACATTGCATTATGCACCACATTATGTACAAAAATGAACTCAGGTTGAATTGCAGGCTTACACGTAAAATCTAAAATACAAAATTTCTAGAGAACCACTTTTCTTTGAAGTAGACAAAGATTTCTTATAAAGCAAAAAACACTACATGCACAAAAATTTCATAAGGTGGGCTTCAAAATTAAAAATCATTTGTCTTCAGTAAGCACTATTAAAAGTGATAGGAAAGCCAAGATGAAGGGGAATATGTTTTCTCATGCATCTGCTGAATGTGTGTGTCTGTGTGTGTATATCTATACATATATGCATAAATACATACATATATTTACATATATATGGAGAGAGACTCCTTTTTCTGTTAAGCAATATTTCATATCTATATACGTATTTCATATATATATAAAGAAATCTCTCTCCATATATATATTCTATTTCATATTTTTTATACATATGAAATAGAAGCAGCCAAAAATGTATGATACACTATGAAATTTTGTTTATATGAAATTCAAGAAAGGCAAAACCAATCATTTGGAAAAGATAGCTGAAAAGTGGATGCCTCTGTGGGAGGAATGGAATTTTCTGGAAAGGGGCATGAGAAAATTCTCTAGGGATCTGGAAATATTTTATATTTTGATTGATGTTATATATTTGATTGAATTTATGTGTTGTTGAAATTCATCAGAATGCATACTTAAGATACTAGCATTTTAATATATGTTACTGTGTCTCAATGAAAATTTAAAAACAGTTTTAAAAAGAACTCATGTATGTAAAACTAGTTCCCATTTGGTGATTTCCCCTGCACTGGTGTAGGAGTAATCTCCCACCTGAAACTTGTGGGGGCTCTCTTGTACAATTGGGCTTCTGTTCTGAGAAGGGTATCTAAGGGAGCATCAAGGTTTGTGGGTCTCGGTCATTTGAGGCTATGACAGAGGCCCTAAGGCTGGAAGAGAAAACCAACAGAAAGACTACTAACAAAAATTTCCCGTCAAAGACATACACATGCACACGGAAATAAATACTCTCTCCATATTAAGAGATCAGAGTTAACAAATACGCATGTAAAAGAGTCAGTGAGATTTCTGACTTTTTTAGTCTTAACTGCAAGGAACTGTGGAGCTGGTGAAGAAGAAATATTGAATCACTAAAGTTTGAATTTGGGCACAATGAAATAGTGGTATTTCTATTAAGGTTAAAAATTAAATGCGTATACACACACATATATATAAACATACACACACGTATATATACACATACATACACACAATGATTCTAATTGCACCTGCCTTTTCTCAAACATTCTATAGTCAGCTCTGTTACTTCTTTCAGGCTTCTGGTTAATATCAACTCCTTAGGAGACTTTGCTTAACATTCTGCTTGAAATAGAAATGATATTCTTACACTATTTCCCTGTTTATCACCTTGCTCCTACACCTCCTCTTCCTCCTCCTTCTTCTCTTCCTTCTTCTTTTCCTTCTCCTTCTTATCCTCCTTCCCTCTTCTCCTCTTTCTGCTCCTCCTCATATCTTTCTCTCTCTCAAAATCAAAAAGTGAAAATCAGGTGTTCTTTTTTTTCAGTTATAATTGTTACACAATTATAAAATTATTTAAGAAAGCCCCTATTATTCAATTTTCTAATAAACATTTATAAATGGTATATAGCATTAGAGACTTACAGAAATAGTAAAATCGGGGTACAACCCTTTGAGTCATTAGGCTTTATTTTTATTGATATTACTTAGGCTAACGTTAGTTTTTTACCAACATTCTTAATCAAAAGCATTCAGGATCCATTAGGATTTTAAGAATCTTAACCAATTTCTCTAGGCATTAAAACTGAAAAGTATACTACCAATTTTCTTATGACTATTAGTCACTTGATTATTTTTAATAATCCTGGGAAAAAATATATTTTTTGTAAATCACTGGCCAATGTGAGTACTTAGTGCATCTACAGTTGTTCGCTCTTGTAAGAAAAAAGGAAACAGCTTGTCTGAGTTCAGATACCAACCGGAGCCATGTGTAAAGACTCTTGGGAAGTGTTAGGTAGGGCACCTGGAGTGAGAGGTGGCATTTAGAAGAACCTGATGCTATTGGGAAGATCCTGTGGTGGCGGAGGAATTGTCCTATGAGATTGCTATGTCTGATAAAGTGAGTCCAGGAGTATTTATATGGGGGTATCAAATAATTCTCCTCTATGGTAAAGTGTAGTCACAGTGTCTCTCTTTGTTAAAAAGCACAGGCTTTGGGGACACAGAGAGTGACATTAGGTGCCAGTGTTCCCATTTGCTAGCTGTGCATGTGTAAGAACACTTCTTAATCTTCATATTTCATAAATCTCCTCTTCCATTCAAACAAAAAGGTTATAAACACTGTCCTCAGAGGACTGTTGCCATAGTTAATGAGATATTACACTCACCATGTAGCACAATATGTAATAAACAATAGGATTTTGTTTTTGTTGTCAAATGACTCCTTTTGTATGTTGTTTAGCAACAGGCAATGCAATGCTTTATCTATGCTAGCTTTTTGAGAGGTAGCAGCCTCCAAATTAATACATATGCTTTTATTATTCTTTCCTTTTCTTTTTTCTTTTTGGTCTCATGCTCTTGTTGGAGTACATGAGAATTGCTACAGCAGCCTGAACTCTAAGCTATTTCCCTTTTTTTTTTTTTTTAAACTTTGTTCTTTTTTTGAGACTAAATCTCACTCTGTCACCCAGGCTAAAGTGCAGTGGTGTGATCTCAGGTTACTGCAACCTACACCTTCCAGGTTCAAGCAATTCTCCTGCCTCAGCCTCCTGAGTAGCTGGGATTACAGGCACCTGCCACCATGCCCAGCTAATTTTTGTATTTTGGGTAGAGACAGGTTTCCCTATGTTGGACAGGCTGGTCTCGAACTCCTGAGACTTCTAGTGATCTGCCCATCATTGCCTCCCAAAGTGCTGGGATTACAGGTGTGAGCCACTGTGCCTGGCCTGTTTTTAGTTAGTTCTAAATATACAGATACTTAGAAGCACATATGAGATTTTGAATTTTAATAGTTAGAAATTACTTGGAATTATTTTGGTTCTCTTACTTAAAAATAATATACATCAAAATAATATGTATATTCATTTTAAGAAGAAAAAAGAAAGCATCACCTCATGCTATATACATGCTGTATCATCTTAACTCGTAGGCTTCATGTGGTCCTCTAGCGTCTTCTGAATTCCATTCGAGAACTTCATAATAGAAAAAGTAATAACTTTAGAATCTTGACTGCAAAGCAGAGTGTGACATACTGGAGTATATTGGAGGAAACAATATTTTCAAATGGGAATAGAAGTAAATATCAGCTAAAGTAAGAAAATACTTAGTTAAAGCTCATCCTACGCCCACCATTGTCAATTAAAGTCCTACTCATATTTTTCTAACTGTGTACCAAGAATCTAAATAGTGCAAAATGATGCAAGACCTAAATGGTTTAGGTCATCATATATTAATATAAATTACATGGTTAATTCATACCTTATTACAATCAACTGTGACATCTTGGTTATGAATGTTCTTTTAATAAGATAATAGAAAAAACATTACCGTGGCAGAGACAAATTAGAAAGGAAAATGGTAAATAGAATCAGAAATTTGTATTCACCATTATCTTCACTTTCCTCTCCTTTACTGAGTATTTATTTCAAAGAACAGAGCACCTACCTCTTTTTTTCCAAAATGTATTTTCTAGTTAGATGGTTCATCAAAGGGAATACCAAATAGGAAACACAGGGATATATATATTTCAGGCCACAAATTTTCTCCCTGGAAAATTTATGTCTGTGGATTCCCTGCTTTCTTCTTTCCACTCTGTATGAGTCAGCTGTAACTTCCTGCAATTTTGGTGTTCTTTCGACCCATGTCACCTTCTTAGGACAGATGGTGTGTTCCCACACTCTCCAGCAGCACAGAATTATGGCTTCCTCT